CCATGTGTGGGATGTCTCATTTCTTCATCATCAGATCCTGAAGACCAGATCTGATACGTTCCACTTTCTTCTTCATCCGATTCTCCCTTAGCAACCAAAGACACTCCTTTGTTCTTTGCACGTAAATCTTCAATCTTTTCAGAATAGTAAGCTTCATCTTTGACTTTTTCTTTCTTTTCTTCTTTCTTTCGCAACATGCAATCAGCTACGAAATGATTCGCACCATTGCAGTAATGGCAATAAATTCCTGAATCACCCTTCAACTTTTTCTCTTCATTCGCATTTTTCTGTTTTCCATCTGTTTTCTCCATTTTCTTCTTCTCTTCTCCTCCAGTTCTTGTTACATCATTTTTCACATCACTATTCTTTCCTTTTGGATTAAAAGGCTTTTTGAAAAACTATTTAACTTTGTTGTTTGAATAGTATGCTACTGCTTCATCATCGGAGTTCATCAAAAATCCTTCTACATTTGAACCATCTTTTTCATCAGTTTCTGTTACTTTTGAAACAAGAGCCAAAGGACCACCAATAGCTTGTTTTGATTCTTCATACATTTCTGTGACCTCACATTCATGTGTTTTCAGTTGATTGTAAAGATCATTCAATGTAGTTGTATCAAAACATTGTTGATTCTTTATCATCATGCTCACACCGCGCCATTCCTTGCGAAGACTCATAATGAAAGTTAAATTGAACTCCATGGTAGATCTAGTAATTCCATACCTATTGCAGCGAAACATAAGCTCATTCAGACGATCATAAAAACTTTCGAGAGTTTCTGTATCCTTTTGTCTGAATTCCTTCAGTTCAACTAGACACTGCTTCACAGAGTTGATCTTCGTCTTTTCACTACCTTGATATTTTTCTTTTAGAGTATTCCAGATCTCTTTTGTTGTTTTACAACTACGAATGTAATTGTAAACCACAGGAGGTAGAGCACCTCTTAGTTCTCTCATGCATCTCTTTTCATTTTTCTTCAATCGATTGCGTTGTTCTTCAACATCAGTAGATGCAGTTGATGATCCAATTGGTTGAACATTAGCAGGAGCTAGTACTGTTCCATCGATACACTTCCAAATTTCTTCATCAATTCCATTTAAGTAATCTTCCATTCTATCAGCCCACTGATCATAATATTCTGGAATTAACATCGGAATTTTGGTTGAGGAACCAAGCAAGTGAGAGAAAGAATTCATTGAATTCATGTTGAAGTTCGCCATTGATGAACACAGAAAATATCTGAAAACTTGAAACCTTGATGAATTTCAGAATTTATCAAACGAATTGATCACAAAACACTAATCGATTACTCGATTTAACAATTCAAATGCAGAATCAATTCAAATCTGAAGATCAAAAGTGATTTTCAAAACCAAAAATGCGTGGAAAATTTTGAGTAAATTTGTAACTCAAAAAGCAAATGATTCTAATACGAAAATCAGATCTAAGCAGTTTGAATCCTGCTCTGATACCAATTGATGTGAATTGTTATCGAGAATTTAGAAAAGAAAAGATAGATTTGAATGATTTAAGATGAACAACACAGAAAGTAAATATTAATCAGATCTTATATTGATAAAGACTGATTACAAAATTAAGCAGAAGTGAGTTCAAGCATCATACTACAACTTCTAGCCTAAGTCCCTATTTATAGGGAACAATCAAAAAATATACTAAATCTATACATTTTATCTTCGCACAAAAATGACTTAGTAAAATAACATAAAATGCGAAACTATACAAAACACTCTATTCGACTTTTACAATATACATCAACAAAAATTTTCCTTCTTTAATTCATTAATAACTAAAACTCAAAAAATAAAAAATCCTCAAAACCATCGGCAACAAGAAAGATGCCAATTGTAATTTACATGAATTTATTCCCACCGTATCACCATCCACAACAAGAAGATGCCAATTGCCCAATTTGTAGTTCTTGTGCATGTTTGTTTTTCTTGATGGACAAGAGTGTAGGTAAAAAACAAAGGAGCTCCTTGATGTACGTGTTCTCATTCATTATCCTTCAAGAGACAAACACCTTTAATCACTAATGAAAACAATTCAATCAAAAATAAATATAACATATGATTTCACTCCAATACACCTTTAATCCTAAATGAATAAGAATACTTATGATGAAAAATATTAAACATAATATAGGTTTCCTTCACAACGAACTTCTAATATAGTGCGTTCAGAATAAAAATTCCAATGACTGTTGTGTATATCCTTAATTACATCTAGAAAAATTCAAAGTAGTTACACAGATCCCAACCCATATTCTTGCTACAGAGTCGAATATTGTTGATCACCATTTTTTTCATACCAGCTTGATAGAGAAGGCTAAATAACTCCTTATGATGACGGTGGAGGGGCTGATTTGGGGACTGGTGGTGATTAAATTGATGGCGGCGATTATGATGAGCCCTAATTTAATTGCAGAGGGGGAGGGGGGAGAGATATTGTCGGGGACCTCCAAACATAGGCTGATTTTATGGAAGTTAAATGAATTGCAATTACCCTAATGCCCTTACAATCATTTTAGCATTTTAAATTTCAGCACATATCTTTTATAATTTATATAAATGACACCTTTTTGATAACCCTAGATGTTACTATTTGAAATGTCAATATATGTTCTTGGATTCTCAACCTTTTAGGTGTTCTCATTTGATCCTAATCATATATATATATATATATATATATATATATATATATATACACACACACACACACACACATACATTAAAATAGAATTATTACTCTTGAAAAACAATCCAATAATATTAAGACATCAACTTCAACTAATGAATCTAATGAATTTTTAAGTGTTATGGAATTAGTCACATCACAAAAATAGTACGTCAAAATAAAATTAATAATTAGAGAATATCATAAAAAAGAATTTATTGCTATTGTTAACAGTAGAGCAGACATAAATTGTATAAAAGAATGTTTAATTCCTATCAAATATTTTGAAAAATCCATCCATGTGATTCTCACCGTCAGTGGAGAAAAATTAGATATCAATTATAAATTGTCTAATGCAAAGATTTGTAATAATAGAGTTTGTATTTTGCAAAGCTTCAAAATAATTAAGAATATGTCTCACAATGAAATTATTTTGGGCACTTCGTTTTCACAAAAAATATTGCCATTCGGAGTTAATGAAAATGGAATCTTAGACAATTTTCAAAATTATGAAGTATTTTTTGAGTTTATTACAAACCATTTTACTCGTTGGATAGATCTTATAGATTTAAAAACAAATCAAATAAACTTTCTAAAAGAAAAAAGTCTAATAATAAACACAGACGAACAATTACAAAATCCAAAATTACAACAAAAAATTAATAATCTGAGATATAACTTTATTTTACAAATATGTTATGATCATCATAATGCTATTTGGGAAAGAAAGAAACATATAATTCCTCTTCCATATGAAGACAATTTTAATGAAAGAAATATTCCAACCAAGGCTCACCCTTGTCAGATGAATCATCACTATTTAGACCTTTGTAAGAAAGATATATCCTCTTTACTAAACAAAAATTTAATTAGACCTTCTAAATCAGCTTGGTCTTGCACTGCTTTTTATGTTAAAACATTCAGAACAAGAAAGAGGAAATCACAGATTAGTAATTAATCATATGCCTTTAAATAAAGCTCTAAAGTGGATTAGATATCTGATTCCAAATAAAAAAGATTTACTAGATAGATTAAATACTGCAATAATATTTTTAAAATTCGATTTAAAATCAGGATATTGGAAAATTCAAATTAATGACTAGGACCGATATAAGACTGCTTTTAATTTTCCTTTTGGTCAATACGAATGGAATGTTATGTCATTTAGTTTAAAAAATGCAACTTTTGAATTTCAGAATATTATGAATGATATTCTTTTATCCACATAGCAATGGCATGATAGTTTACATCGATGATATCTTGGTTTTTTCTAAAAACATTGAAGATCATTTTAGACATTTAAACCTCTTAGAACAAAGTATAGAAAAAAATGGTTTAGTCATATCCCAACCTAAAATGGTTTTATTTCAATCTAAAATCAGATTTCTTGGCCATAATAAAGAAAATAAGAAAATAATTCCTATAAATAGAAGTATAGAATTTGCTTCTAAATTTCCTAACAAAATTATTGATAAAACTCAATTACAAAAATGTTTATGAAGTTTAAATTATATATCTTCTTTTTGTAGAGATTTAGTCAAAGATACGCCTATCTTATATGATATACTGAAAAAGAAACCTCTTCCATGGACTCATCTTCATACTCAAGCAGTCCAAAGGATAAAAGAAAAAGTAAAATCATTACCTTGTTTATCTTTAGCAAATCCAAATTAGGAAAAACTTATTGAAACCGATGCCTCCCATATAGGTTATGGAGGAGTCTTAAAACAAATTAATCCAAATACTAAACAAGTATACTTGGTTAGATTTCATTCAGGAAAATTGTCTGATTCTCAAAAGAAATATGCTACTATTGCTAAAGAAATTCTGGTAATACTAAAATGTGTTTCAAAATTTCAAGATAATCTTTACAATTAACGATTTATTATAATTACTGATTGTCAATCGGAAAAATTTATGTTTAACAATGATTTTAAAGATGATGTGTCTAAGAAAATGTTTGCTAGATGGCAAGCTCATTTAGCACCATTTGATTTTACAATAATATATCGAAAATGTGAAGATAATATTCTTCTCGATTTTCTAACTAGGGAATTTTTAAATGAGAAATGTACATTTAAAACAATTATCTAATGATATTTTTATTACAAGAAACTCAATTAAAGAAACTAAAGTTAAATTAACCAACTTATTGGATAATATGCCAACAACAAACACAAATATCATTGATCGTATTCACCATACTAGATGTATTCATTTATTAAGATTCAAACTAATAGGCCTAAGAGCTCATCTTAGGTTTTTAGAGAATAAACTTATATTACTTTTGAATTAAATTTTACATGATGATCTCTAATCAGGGAAGACGTTGCTACCTTAATATAGGTGGCAAAGGAAAAGGATCATATTCTCTGATACAACCTGGGAAAAATTTGCTAATAGTAGAAAACATTGCCTCCCAACCATCATCATCTAATATGCCTAAACCTAGAGATCCGTTATACTCGGCTTTTCAACTGTTCTTGAAACAACAAAAGGATAATAATCCTTCTTTCTCAAAAATAGTTTCGGAGGAAGATAATGATGATTCCTCAAAATATATTTTAACACCTCATAATGATTTAACAATTCTTTTAGAAGAAAAGGATATCATGTTATATTTTGAGGAAAATGATGATCCATGGAATTTATTCTCCAGATATCTGGATATTGCGTCATATGCAGCATGTTCTTACAAGTTACGAAATTATTATGAGAATAAAACTAATTTCTACAGGTACATGTGAGATTTCACATTTCTCACTTCCAGGAGACAAGAAATTTTATAACTTCAGCAAATTAATATTCAAAAAGCTTATATCTGCAGAAGAACGACATTTAAGCATCCTCAGGGAAAGAGAATTTCACCACCCTGAACAAAAGATCTTAATAAAATATATATTTAGTGATTATATCGACAGCTTTTATAAAGCTTTTCTTTATGAAAATCTTAAAAAAAAAAAAAAAAAAAATCTTGGTTTTTCAAATTTTTTGACCAAGTTTATAAACAAAAGTGGCCAAATTAGTTTATAAAATGGCCGTCATCATATGGTCCAAGTGTTCAAATTCTCCCTGATTCATTCAAATCTTTATATGTTGAATGGCTTCATTTGGCTCCAAAATACAACGAGGCTCTTGAGCACTCCAATGGAGGAAGGGAGGTAATACGTACCCAACATTTTTTCATAGAATTTTCAATTCCTTGGATTTAGAAATGGATCACGGAAGTTGATTATAGTCTAAATAAGTTCCCATCTTTTCAAATATCATATCTTACAAAGTTTTGGGCAAAAATGTTGCAAAACGATCCAACCTCAAATGAGATAAACTCTAAACAAACGGTTGATAATATCAATCAAGCAATTTTGAAATATAAATCTCAAAAAGAATTTTATCCCGTAAGGAACAATCCAACAATTTTAATCCTTATGAAAAAGTTTTAAACTCCATAAAAGCTCAAGGAAATTCATCCCGATCAAAAGATGAAATTATAAAGATTTATTCTCGTCAAATGAAAGAACGCCTGCTTCAAAACCTCAAAAAACAATCATGAGACAGCTCAATGTTATCTACATGCAATGATGATAATTGTCTAGTAGGATAATCTTAGCCAATTGATGATAACAATGACATTATGGATGAAATCACTGTGGAAGATGCTTTTGCCACTATTGAAGATATGATATTGGAAAAGCTACAAAAGAAAAAGACAAAAGCAAAAGGACTTTATGGTGAAAACTTCTACACCTATCAATATTCTCTATTTGCTTTGATAAAGCTACAATAATGAAGACAATGGAAAACATTAGAATAGTCAGCTGTCATAATACACTTGTCAGTGTGCTCAATTATTCTCTTGTAATATTTTATAGTTTTTAAACTTGCTTTGAAGTCCGAGCCTATATATATGTTGTTATGTTTATTTATTAAGCATGCTAGAAGATTAGTTCCTACCTTCTCTTTCCTCTTGTAAAATATTCTGAAATTATAGAATAAGTTTTAAAGTATTTCTGGTGCATCCTTCTTTCTTTGATTGTGTTTCCCTTTACTCTTGTAATTTTTCGTTACTTATACTTTATTATTGTCTGTATTGGCCTAATGATAGGCTAAATCCTTTTAAGTGTTAAATAATCTCACGAAATAATGGCTTTGCTAATTTTGTAAGAAACCTTAGGTACCATATAGTGATTTGAAATACAAAAGTCTAGGTTTATAACATGAAATTTAAATTGATATATTTAACCATTAGTCGTGGTGTTGCCCTTCTTTTTGCCAAAGTTTGGCGTTTTTAGGGTTGTTTGTCATTGACTCGGTATATATCAACGTTTCAAATTAAATTATCTGTTATGGAAAATAATCCTATGACTGTATTTTGACGTCACTATATGTTACCCTTGGGCCTTCTCTAGATTCTATGGTATCAGAGCCAATGTTTCATGAGTTATTTAACACTTATTTCTCAAATGAATTTTCACATCTTCAAAAGGAATAATGGGAATAATGTTAAAAATCAAGTAAATGAAGAATATGAAATCCCAAAACAATTAGATTTATTAAATAAATAGACAATTCCTAGAATACAACCAAAAGTTTGATATGAACTAGGTACTTTTGAAGAATTAGGTTTTATACAATCAGTTAAAACAACTGAAGAGAATTTAACAATGAACCAAGATGACATGATTGTTAAATTATTAACCTATGATGATATTCATATATATATATATATATATATATATATATATATATATATATATATATATATATATATGTATGTATATATACTAATAATTATTTACATATAGGTTTAGAGCAAATTGCTTTTAAACCATTAACTTTACAAGGTTTACCAGAAAGTTTTTTAGTTTTATTACGTGATGGTCATAATATGAATTGGAAACAATCTTTAATGGGCATAATATAGTGTAGTTTAAGCAATGGTCCAGTATATTTTAATGTGTATCCTAATTTACAATTATCACTATCTGATGTTAATATACTCGATGCCTTAACATTAATTGGTAAAACAAATGGATATAATTATATGACATGATCTAAATTAAGATGTATATGCTATAGAATATACTACACGCCTTTAAAAACAATGAATCCAATGTGTAAAAAAACTAATAAACCTAATAATGAAACTATTATAATAGAAAGTAATTTTTATATGTCTAAAATAACCACTAAAAAAGATATTAAGTGGGATGAAATAGATTTTCCAAAAAATTGGATTTTAGAAGGAGCAGTTCCTCCTCAACCAAAAATAAATAATTAAATTACAGAAATTGTACAAGCATCGGAAGGAAGAATTCAAATAGAATTCGATAATGATGATGGAGAAATACCTCTATTGAGAAGAAGTAGATCAACTAGATCACTGTATACTCATATATCACCTTGAGAATATAAAGTAGAAACCCCTTCTAGGTGTTCTACATTTCAATTAGACAAGAAAAAAATCAATTAAATTTAAAAGAAAATATAGTCCAAGGTGTCTTTGAAGTGGATCCTACTGCCTCATAAATGAATTTTCTAATTTAATGGATAAAAAAGAAATAACAAATTTTAATCCGGGATCACTGGCAAGAAAAAATAAATTAATCAATTTAATACATAAAAATGGAAGCCTTTTAAAACATGGTTATTTGAAGAATTTTCAAAAGAAGAATTAACAATTATACAAAATGAATTATATTCTTATTTATCAAAAATTAACAAAATTATATATTTTATTCCATGGTTTTTTAATAAGTATATATTAAATTATTTAAATACATTAGAAAGAGAATATACTCTTGCAATTGGAAATATACAAAAATCAGTTTTTCCACAACATATAAGTTAAAATTTTTTGCTTATTGAAAACTAGTTAAAAATAATACTTTACAAATAACCATTGAACATATTAACCAACTAATACAACAAAATAATTTTACAAACTTATATTTTTTTATTCTTAGAAAAAAAAAATATTTCTATAGAAGAAAAGGTGAAATATATATATATATATATATATATATATATATATATATATATATATATATATATATATATATATGTGTGTGTGCAAAATTACTGAACAATCTCAAATTGAGAAAACACAGCCAATTAAGAAAAAAAAAATGGCAACTTTCAAACCACCATACTTGTACTGTTTTAGCTTTTTATCACTTCTTCTCCACCGCGTTGACTCCACCGCCTTTCACTTCGCCCCTTTCTTCTTATCTCAATTTGCTCTTAATTTCATCAGGAAAGCTTCCATGTCTCTTGCAATTTCCTGCACTCCTCTTTCTTGCACCACTCCCAATTTCATCTCCTGTATTTCTCTACTTCTCTCTTTGTTCATCTTCTATCTTCGATTTTGCCCTTGCCCGAAGACATTAACAATCATTTCAGTTGTTTGGGATAACACGGTCAACTCCTGGAAAGTCTTTGTTCATCTTGTGTAAAAGGTTTGAATCCTATTTTTTTGATTTTTCCTTCTCCCTTCTCCTTTTGCTTATTAACTACTACTTACATATCACGCTAGCTGTTTACAGACGTCACCATCACCTTGCTTCACTGCTATGAAGATCGAAGGCGTACCATAACCCATCAAGTGGCACGGTCGGAGAAGAAAGACATAGCGAACCAGATTGTTCGAAAACTCGGCAATGGTTTTTACTCTTTTACTTTCGTACATATTTTCACCTTTTGATCACGAGTTTCTCACTTCCTTTGACTTGTAAGCTGTTTTATTACAGTACCAATATTGTCAAGATAATCATTCCCACCGGTCCTCCCTCTACAACCATCGCTTCCAATATGCTTGATTTTATACATTCTTTAGGGGAAAAAGAAGCAAAGAGTTCAACCGTTTTGTAAATCGATTGTACCTTCCACGATTGGAGGTCGACGCCTTCTCTTTTTTTCTTATGGCTTCCCTCATGCCTTCTTACGCTTACACTTCCAATTCATAATGACAGAGTTCATGTATGTTGATTTAAGGTTTGTCTCTTTTTTTCCTCTTCTACTTCTTCTCTGGAGTTCCATCTTCAGCTACTCCATCTTTAAGTCAGTGATTTTATTTTAACATAATGAACTCATATGTAATTTTGGACAAACCTTCTCTGTAAAAAAAGAAACAAATTTGGGGCTTATTAGATTGGTTTTTTTGTTCATAATTGGCAGATTTGAAGATGCACATCAACTGCTTGATGAAATGCCTCAAAGAACCGGTAAGATTAGTTCTACTCCATCATTAACTACACAAGCCTCTTACACACTTTCATATAACTTTTCGGTTAAGGTTTGGATACGCACGCTAAAATTCTAACCAATGACTTTGGCAAGTATGGTGATATCGAAGATTGTAAGGTTGTGTCAAGTATGGTGGGAACCATTTACCTAATGTGGTCTCTTTATAATCTCTTTGAATATGGTAATTAGTGTATCAAATAGAAATTCTTTACAATATTTTTCTTAACAATATAAATTTTCTTTGTCATCTCATTTTTGTTGCAGTAAATAAGACCAGATGATTGCGATATGTGTATGTCGAAAAGGTCTAATACTTCTAATGAATCAAGTATTGAATCAGATAATTGATAGAAATTAGAATCTATGGTGAAACTAGGTATGCTTGGCGAACATTCATCCTATTGGTTTCACAGAGTTGGCTTAATTTTTGATACTTATATCAATAATTTTTCGTTTCCGTTTGCCTATGGTTAGGTTGATCTACAAATAGTCAAACACATGATAGAGCTCGTGGAGTTGGTCTAAAGAAGTTAATTGAAGCTTATTAACAGGTAGTTTGCATATAATATATTATCAAACAGAAAAAAATAAAAATAAAAATAGGGGATGAACTCGAAACCATCATACAACAATTAGCTGAAGATGCAACAGATCGTATTTGAAACCAACTACGACACCAATAAGCTGCTAAATAACATCCATGAAATGAGAAAGAAACATGAATACGTTATCAAAAAACTCAACAGAAATTAAGGAGCTTCCCAACGACATCCATCCATACGTGTAATGCGTTCGATTGTTTAGTATACCCTCAAGAAAATATTGTTTTGTAATGTAGTTGTCTGATGTAATAGTCTTTTGATAATGTAATCCTCACTGTATGACCAATTTCAACCTCTGTTTCATATATGTAATGCGATTTCATCGATATTATTATATGCTTCGTTATGTACTCCAATGTAAACAGCGACAACGGCGCATGTAATTTCCTCTAGTTACAATGAAATCACTCTTAAACTCCTTATTAAAATTATTCATATGGAAAAATAAGTACTCAAGAAGGCTTAGTTTTATGCAATGAAATAAAATTGAATCAACGCCTCACTCAAAAGACAACATTTAGGTCATTTCTGTGAACAATTTGGTATTAACACTTTAAAAAAATAGAAAAAAAATCTGAAAAGGAATATAACCCTAGTGAAAATCAAAGATAATATAGATCTAAAAGAAAATCTTTTAGAAAAGAAAAACATAATAAAAAGAAAAGACAACATTTAGGTTATTTCTGTGAACAATTTGGTATTAACACTTTAAAAAAATAGAAAAAAAAATCTAAAAATGAATATAACCCTAAAAAATATAGTGAAAATCAAAGACAATACAGATCTAAAAGAAAATCTTTTAGAAAAGAAAAAACGAAAAACATAATAAAAAGAAGAAAGAGAATCCACTGACTTGTTATAAATGTGGCAAAATTGGTCATTTTACCAATAAGTGTAAAATAAAAAAAATTAAAAAAAAAGATTAATGATCTAAATCTTGACGCTAATATGAAAGAAAAATTAAAAGAAATTCTTCTAAACAATTTGGAAGAATCCTCATCTGATGGTGAAATAAATAATATAAATTCGGATGAAGAAATTTATACAACTTTAAGTAGTTCTAATGAAGAAGAAAATAATTATTATTGTATAGATAAAAATAATTATTCTAGTGATGATGAAGTATATAATATTTAATCACAATTTCAGGATAATTTACAAACAAACTTTTAGATAAAGATATTTTATCTATTTTAAAAAATATAAATGATTCCGAATTAAGATCACAAATCGTTGATCAAATAATGAATCATCAAAAAATACTCAAGTTAATGAACCAATTTATTCAATGAAGAAATAAATCAAATATTAAAAATGAAAAATAATACTTTATTAAATACTACAATCACATATTACACGCAAGAAATTAATAATTTGAAAAAAGAGACTACTTTTCTAAAAAATAATCATAATAAGTTTGAAAATAGAATTATTATTTTTGAAAAAGAATCCAATAATGTTAAGACATCAGCTTTGAATCTAGTGAATTTTTAAGTGCTATGGAATTAGTCACATCCCAAAAATGGTAAGTCGGAATAAAATTAATACTTAGAGAATATTATAGAAAAAAATTTATTGCTCTTGTTGACAGTGGAGCAGACATAAATTGTATATAATAAGGTTTAATTCCTATCAAATATTTTGAAAAATCCACCCATGTTATTTGCACCGTCAGTGAAGAAAAATTAGATATCAATTAAAAATTATCTAATGCGAAGATTTGTAATAATAGAGTTTGTATTCCGCTAAGCTTCAAAATAATTAAGAATATGTCTCAAAATGAAATTATTTTGGGTACTCCATTTTTACAAAAAATATTTCTATTCAGATTTAATGAAGTGGGAATGTTAGACAATTTACAAAATTATGAAGTATTTTTTGAGTTTATTACAAAACCTTTTATTCGTTGTATAGATCTTATAGATTTAAAAACAAATCAAATAAACTTTCTAAAAGAAGAAATTTTAATAATAAACATAGACGAACAATTACAAAATCCAAAATTACAACAAAAAATTAATAATCTAAGAAATAAGTTTATTTTAAAAATATGTTCTGATCATCATAATGCTTTTTGGGAAAGAAAGAAACATATAATTTCTCCTCCATATGAAAACAATTTTAATTAAAGAAATATTCCAACCAAGGCTCGCCCATGTCAAATGAATCATCACTATTTAGACCTTAGTAAGAAAGAAATATCATCTTTACTAAACAAAAATTTAATTAGACCTCTAAATCGGCTTGGTCTTGCACTTCTTTTTAAGTTAATAAACATTCAGAACAAGAAAGAGGAATTTCCATATTAGTAATTATTTATAAGCCTTTAAATAAGTTTTAAAGTGGATTAGATATCTGATTCCAAATAAAAAAGATTTAATAGATTGATTAAATAATGTAATAATATTTTCAAAATTCGATTTAAAATCAGGATATTGGCAAATTCAAATTGATGAATAGGACCGATATAAGATTGCTTTTAATGTTCCTTTTGGTCAATATGAATGGAATGTTATGACATTTGGTTTAAAAAATGCACCTTCTGAATTTCATAATATTATAAATGATATTTTTTTATCCTCATAGCAATTGCATGATAGTTTACGTCGATGATATCTTGGTTTTTTCAAAAAATATTGAAGATCATTTTAGACATTTAAACCTCTTTGAACAAATTATAGAAAAAAAATGGTTTCGTCATATCCCAACCTAAAATGGTTTTATTTCAATCCAAAATCAGATTTTTGGGCCATAATATAGTAACAGGAAAAATAATTCCTATAAATAGATGTATAGAATTTGCTTCTAAATTTCCTGACCAAATTATTGATAAAACTCAATTACAAAGATTTTTAGGAAGTATAAATTATATATCTTCTTTTTATAGATATTTAGTCAAAGATACACCTATCTTAAATGATAGATTAAAAAAGAAACATGTTCCATGGACTGATCTTCATATTCAAGCAGTCTAAAGGATAAAGGAAAAAGTAAAATCATTACCTTGTTTATCTTTAGCAAATCCAAATTGGGAAAAAATGTATTCAAACCGATGCCACCGATATAGGTTATGGAGGAGTCTTAAAACAAATTAATACAAATACTAAACAAGTATATTTAGTTATATTTCATTCAGGAAATTGGTAGATTAAAAAAGAAACATGTTCCATGGACTGATCTTCATACTCAAGCAATCCAAAGGATAAAGGAAAAGGTAAAATCATTACCTTGTTTATCTTTAGCAAATCCAAATTGGGAAAAAAAAATTATTCAAACCGATGCCACCGATATAGGTTATGGAGGAGTCTTAAAACAAATTAATACAAATACTAAACAAGTATATTTAGTTATATTTCATTCAGGATACTGGTCTAATTCTCAAAAGAATTATGCTACTACAGTTAAAGAAATTCTAGCAATAGTAAAATGTGTTTTAGAATTTCAAGATGAACTTTACAATCAACAATTTACGGTAATTACTAATTGTCAATCATCAAAATTTATGTTAACAAAGATTTTAAACATGATGTATCTAAGCAAATGTTTGCTAGATGGCAAGCTCATTTAGCACCATTTGATTTTACAATAATATATCGAAAAGGTGAAGATAATAGACTTTCTGATTTTCTAACTAGGGAATTTTAAAATGAGCAATGTATATTTAAAACAATTATCTAATGAGATTTTTATTACAAGAAACTTAATTAAAGAAATTAAAGTTGAATTAAC